GTCATTGGAGTCCTTGGCGTACTGCAGACATGAACTATGCGAGGACAACCACATCAGCTCGAAGTTCAAGATGTGTTCCTGTACATGGAGGGGACTTACGGGAATCACCTGGGCCTTCTCAAGGTCCCAAACGCCGTTCTTGGCGTACACATCGTTCTTGATCAACTCCCACGCCTCATCGGCATCCTTGACGGTGTAGATGATCATGCTGCCCTTAAAAGCGGGTGTCTTGCCTTCTGACGGGTGCTCAGACTCGAACATGGCTCCTGGGATATCTCAGTCAGATCTGGCCAAGCATCCATATTCATGAGGGTGCCCACCGCCGACAGCCACCTTGCCCTCCGAAGCAGCAGACTTGGCCGCAGCCAAATGAGTCCTTGTGAACCGTCAGCTCCCTTATCGCATCACCATCATCTGTTTCATGAGATAGATGCTCACGGTCTGATCTCCAAGCGCTTGGCGAGCGCGTCGGGCTTATCCGGGAGGATGCAGAGGAACTCCTTCTTTGCAGCGGTGGCCATTGTGCGATATCTGAAGGTGAACGGCGAAGTCTGTGCTACGAAACGGCTTCTTCGGGTTACGTATCGAGATGCGGGGATGAGAGGCGTCCGCAAGATGCGAGTGGGGATGGACATTGTGGATTGAACGGAGGGGGTTTGCGGAGATGGCTGCCGCTGAGTCGCTGACTGTTCAATGGTTCCGTTGAGTGAGAGGGTGTCATGTGATGTGCGGAGGGTGAGAGTCGGGGAGTGCGTGTTCGAATGCTCCGAGGTCGGACCCGACAACCGAGACTAGCCGGCGTTGGTCGGTGCTGTTGAGCCCGGGTCTTCCGGCCACGGTGTTCCCGGCATCGTGGAGTGTGATTGAGGCTCTATGAAGAGGGTTCGGAAGTAGTTCGATGAGGGAGGATGAACTACTCCTAGAGTTCTGGCTTGGTGTTATTACTACAAAGAAGCCAAAAAAGAATGCAAAAAAACGAGGTCGAGCCCGGGTTCGAACCGGGGTTACCGGAAGACTTTGAGGTGATCAAAATCCGGCTGACAGGGAGTCAGCATGGGAATGAACAGACGCGCTGTTGGTGAGGAGAGCTTACAGTGATAACCACTACACTACACAACCGACTGTGCACCAAAGTGGAGGCACGCGATGCCAGATCGATACGCGAATCCAAAATATGGATGACGATGACACGTCGCGCTCGTCCGGAAGCGAGAACGCGATATGCAAGGTCCTTGACGCGTCATGACACGGCGAGGGAAATGTAGACTCAGGAAGCAACACAACCTGCTTGAATGGTCCTCGAACATCAAACATGAAGACAACGTCTATCATATACGCATTCGCTAAGATTAATTACAATACTAGGTCTATCTAACTACAGCGCCTAGACTATGCCCGCTTCAAGCGCCGCATCGACGTGGAACTCGTAAACCGGCCGCCCATACAACTCAATGCTCTTCCCACCATACACAAAACTCCCCTTCGTCGTTGTTGGCGCCCGAATCGTCACGTAGAGATCGCCCCCCTCAACCTTCCACTCCGCGCTCAAGTCCCCATCAAACGCAGTCACAACCTTCGCCCTCGCCGTCTTCAACCCCATCTCGACACCGGCCGCCGGCGCAACCACCCAGTTCCTGTACCCGAACCCGTCCGTCCCCGCAGCAGGCTGCACGCCCGCCGCCCATTCCGTCAGCACATACGTCGCCGCGCCTCCCCACGGGTGACTCAGGCTCGTGAACAGGCCGAGGCCGGGCTGCAGCGTCGCGGCGTTGACGTACTCCCAGCTCGTGCCGACCGCGCTCTTGTTCGCGGCCTCGGTGCCGGGCAGCATCGCGCCCCAGAGGCTCTCGATGAGCGCCTTGCCCGTGGCCGTGGCGTTACCCATGAAGAGCGCGTTCAGGAGGAAGCCGTTGGTGTTCGGGGAGATGTTGATGCTGCTGTCGTTGGAGGAGGCGAGCGAGGTGTCCTTGTACCCGGGGCCGAGCTTCAGCAGCGAGAGCGCCTCGATGGACCGCGCGGTGCGGTTGGGCGATGCGACGCCGGAGGTGATGCAGAACGCTGTTCCCGCAACGGAGGTGTCGTTCAGTGAGGCGAGCGAGTATCCGTACGCCCCGATGTCGTCGTTCCACAACTTCTCGTTGATCGCGTCGGCGAGCGAGGACGCGGCCGTGCGGTACTTGGTCGCGGAGGCGGTGTCGTTCAGCATGGCAGCCACGTCGGCGGCTCCGTTCAGGCTTTGCACCGCTTCGCAGGAGATGGCCGAGCCGCCGTCCGCGGGGCCGGTGAAGGCGAAACCGCCGTCAAAGGTGAGTAGCCCCGTTGTCTTGTTGATTTGCGGGAGAAGCCAGTCGATGACCTTCTGCCACTGCGGCCAGGTCGAGCGCGCCCAGTCGAGGTCGTTGGTCAGGCGCACGTGGTCGTTGAAAGCCATGAGGCCGAGGAGCTGATAGTCCTGCAGCCCGTAGCTCCCGGATGGCGCCAGGGCGTTCGCGATGGACTTGAGGTCGTAGCCCAGGTTGGGCGAGATGCTCATTTGGCCGTTGGCGATCTGAGTATCGAGCAGCACCTGCAGAGTTCCCCGGGACTGGTCTGTTCGTGAGGTGCTGATGGCTGAGATGCGGGCGGTGTGGTAGAAGTCGCCGAGCCAGACAAGTCTGTCACGCTTCGGCCCGTCGAGGCAGACGCTCTCATAGTTGGCTCGCGTGCCGTACTCGACCAGCACATTTTGGCTGGTGAGACTGTTCGAGTATAGGGTTGAGCCGTTGACCGTATCGTATGCGAGCGCGTTCTTGAAGTAGGCCGCGTGGTCTTGGTAAGCACCGAATCCAAAAGAGCCGGTGAAGTCGGGCGTCCCAGAGTACGATGCGCCCGATGAGATTAGAGCCCAAGGGTAATCGGAGCGTGAGATGTTGAAGACTTGCGTATCGTTGATGGAGACTGCTAGGTGGCCGCTCGGCGACATGGATGTCGAGATGTGGTACCAGGTATCCTCCTTCACGGCGAAGGGAACCTTGAAGACGTCCAAGAGGTAAGATGTCAAGGTCGTCTGGTTCACGAAGTCGGGGCCGTACGAGAGCGAAATGGTGTTCGGAGGCGTAAGAGTCTCATTCACATTGGCAAATCGGTTGGATTCGGGGAGTTCGCCGGTGAGTAGGATTGTGTATCCGTTGCCCGCGATCGCTCCACCCTGGATGTTGGTCAGCTCACGGTCTTGCAAGACCACCATGATCATCCTCCTGCACTCACCGTAACCCACCAACTGCCTCCCTTCTTGATCTTGGTATCAAATTCCAGTGTGTAGTTGGTCCACGCAGTCGCCTTCCACGTCATTGAAGGTCTCGTGCTCTGTGCCAGCACACCATTCTCCTCATCAACCGTCCAAATAGCTGGTTGACTTCCCTTGTCAACACACGCAGCAGTCGCGGCCCTGGCGCCCAGCTTCCAAATCTCATTCAAAGCCTCATCGTCGCTGGAAAACTGGCCCGGAAGGTCCTCCGGCTCAATAGTTGGGATCGTCGCTTCGAATCCCACATTCGAGAACGTGACCGTGGTGTTGGTCAACAGCCTGACGGATTGCCATTTCTGTCCACCTTGAAGAAGAGGCGAGACGGTTTTGCTCTTCGTTGTGATATTGAATGTCTCGACGCGGAAGCTGTTTCCCAGCTGGTTCGAGAAGCTGTATGGCCCGTCACCGAAGGGGTGGTGCAGCCCGTCGAAATGCTCGGTGTACTTCACCTCGATCTGGGTGGGGCCGTCGAGAGTGGAGACCTCAAACACCGGAAATCCCGCTCGCTCGGCTCCATAGTCGAGAGTGGCTATCGGGACATCCGGTGTGAGGGTGAAAGGGGCAAAGGACTGAGTTTTTACTTGGGCTTGCGCGCCGAGAGCAATGCCATGAGGTGTGAAGATGCTAATCGCGGGAGATAAGAGTTAGCAAGTGAACAGAACGGGATGCTGAGTAAAACTCACTGAGCATCGGATGACTGGTCGGTTCCTGCAGCTGGTGCACCTTCGGCTGCAACCGCAGCCAAAAGCAGCAGGAAAGACAGTACCATAATTCCGATTTCGTTCCGAATGACTGAGGCCCAATACAGCGCAGCGAAAAGTCAAAGTGAATCGGAAGTCAGTCTGCTCAATGGTTGGGCAGAATACCAACAGCACGGTTCCGGAGTGAAAGTGTAAACAACGTAAACAATCTGAAGATTACACAGCCGTGTCGAACAGCTCGAAGTCTTTAAGCATGAACCCTCGGGAAATTGGACACCGAGAAGTCCAAACGGCGCTCGTCTCGTCCTCTATTACGACGATGTCGTTTGTCAATATTTCGATCGTCCCCGAGATCGCGTCTTCTCCCCCACAATCCGATTGGACCGCGCAAGCAACTAACCCAATCCTGCGCGTGCGGGGGAATCTTTTCGCAAACAATACGACCCTTTCGCGTCGTAGTTTGCGGGGAAGTTTGCGGGGGAGTTACCATGTGGTCGTATCCCGAGTGCATGAGTCGCTTGGCCGGTAGTTCGAGTCGGTGAGGTGTCATTGTCACCCGGACCGAGTCAGATGCCGAACCGAACCGACTCAGTCATGAGGTGGCTGTTGAGCCTCAATTGACAATATGGACTTCGGTAGAACTACACAGCTAGTGAGCCAGTCACCTGGTGTTCATTATTGTGAACATCTTGGTTGGAATTACGATTGAGGCATGGCAAGGATTATTATAATAAACGGACAACTTTGAAACCAAAATTAATAACGAGTCGAATACCAGGATGTCCGTCAAATCATTTGCTCACCATGACTGCGGGAAATGTTGATGGAGCACACATGAACGCTTCATCCCGGATTCACACATGCGTGATAATCGTTATCATTAGATTCCGAGTCCTAGGTATCGGGAGAAAAGCTTCTTGCGGCTCAAGCCCACAATTTGCGGCTCAATGACTCCCTCGAAATGACTGACGTTCAAGTTGTTGAACGTGGAAGGATTGATAACAGGGGTATTTCTATCCGTTGTTATCGTTCTTCTTCTCGTCCAAGCAAATACACAGTGCAGCCATCAGCGCCATGTCCACTCCCGGAGCCACTGTGAGCGCATATGTCTGTTTGCCTCCGAAAAAGTCCCGAGCCCTCAGCATGTTGCGGTCGATCCTACCCAAGACTTGGCCGGTACTGGAATCAACAATGTCTGCCTGGGTTGAAAGCCAGTTTCCTTTCATTTCCAACGTCTCTGTCTTGCCGGTGCTTGGTGAGATGAAAGTAGCAGTTGCCTTGGAGCCAATCACTGCGTGCATAGTCAGTTTGATATTTCAAGGGGAGGCAAGATGAGGATCTTACAGGCGAAACTGTTCTTGACTTCCATAATCTTCTTATCGTGTGGGTCGATGGCGGCGAAGGTTGTGTGAAGGTGGAAGTGTTCTTTTACGATATCGAAGAGATGGGTACCGCTCATATCGTAGATCGACTTGCGCCCCGAGATTGACATGACCTTTCCCTTTACGCTGAAAATCGGTGTGCCGTTGACGAGTTTGATGTCGAAGTTGTCGCCGGTGAGGGAGAGCATCTTCTCTTTCAGTATCAAGGTCTCAGTCTGTCGCGCGGTTACTTGCGGAAAGATTCCGACGGAGTTGCCTGCGGGTGCTAATTGATGGGCCGCCATTTTCGAATATCTCGTTCAGATTGGGTCTAGGATGTGACGGACAGCTTGTCTAGTCTTGTTATTGGATGCTATTGATGATTGAAGGTGTGAAGAAACAGGTTGCGCTGTCAGGGTCGCTAGTGAGTAAAGGGAGGACATTGTAGCTTTTATTCAGCTCATAAATAAGCAGGCGCTCTTCCCCTTTCGTGCCACTCTCAACAATGACGCTGATTATTGGCTCGGGAAGGGCAACACATTCCTTCCTTCCGTCCAAAGTCTCACAGCGATGGGCATGATCCCCGCGCACCGGCTCTTTCTCATCGCTGAAGCCACAAGGAGGTTTCACCCAGTGACGTCACGCCCGAGCTTAAAGAGGCCTCATCTCACCACAAATGCGCGTTAGGCTGCTCCTTCCCACCCGTTTACCGCTTAGTGAGGGGTAGTTAGACGAAGTCACTTTGGGGAACTGGCGCCAGTGGCGTTGACACCGCCATCTGACGGTTACTCAGCCGCACGCAAGTCGCGGACGAGCTGTCGGCCTTGGAGACAAGTTGCATGATAGATAGACGCGGTCTCCCACAGCCTCTAGCCGTTTATCTTTCGCATGGGAGAGAACATCATTTCACTGGGATTACCTCGCTCAATGGACCAGCGGGCAAGCTAAGACATGCTCGCTCTTGGATAGAGCATGTCACACTGCCGAACAGCCACAATGGTCTGAAGTATGCTGTTCGCACAGCCACATCAAGGCTTTTCACAGCAGAATCACCGCGTTCTGCCTGGAGCCTCAGCCACGACGCGCGCCACGACGAGAGGCGCGAGACCGAAGCTTTGTGGGGAGAGCTCCAGCCACATCTCTCTGCTGACTACGCGAAGCATCGTCCTGCTTCACAGGGAAGTAGCCAACAAGCATCGGAGTTACTGTCGGAGATCACGACTGGGCACCCTTTTAGAACACGCTTTAACTGAAGCACGCCAACCGATTCCCATTTGTCACAGTAATCTACAGCAACGCGCCGCGATTCCGCGAACTTGATGGCCAGTACGTAAGTATGTCACCTCGCAAAGAGTTTTATCCATATAATGGGGCTCAAGGTAAAAGTCATTCAGGGTCAATCGCAGAAGTAGAAAACGTGGATAATTCCAGCCCTTCCGACAATCTCGGGTTTTTGGACTCCAAATTTGGCAGATTCAGCTCGAAGGCGTGGTTTGGCAAGGAGGTAAGCATCCCTCTTCACACAGATCCTGTACCTATATGCCGCATGGAGCTCACGGAGAAAGGCCATTCAGGGTCGATCGCAGGAGCCCAGGAACATGGCTAGATCCAGCCCTTTTTCCCTTCTAATCATATCGAGTTTCCAGGCTCACCTCCTCAGATTGATAAGTTATGTGTCTTCACAAAGGTGCCTCATGCACATGTGCTGGGGTTCATAGAAGACACAAGGTACTGAGAGTCGATCACGGAAGCAACAGAATGCCGAAGCCGAGCGTCTCCCCCTTCGCCTGCCCTACGAACAAGGCATTCGTCTTCACCGATGATTGAGACGATCGTCTCGGGTCTCTTCACTCAACGCGTCAGATTAGGCTCGAAGGCGCGTTTTGGCGACCGTCGGCCTAGACTCTGGCCACGGACCACAATGCCACCGAAAGCACACCGTTCTTATCATGAGGACGCGTGTTATCAGCGGCTCAAACGGCTTCGCTGGCCCTCACCATCGGCGGCGCCGAACACCTGGCTGCCTCCGCGATCTCCGCGGGTTTCCGGGGGCTCGGACCTTTTCCGTGCGCCAACCGGTCCGCAATCCCGGTGGGTCAACGTGTCCGGGGGTCCCCCTCGTCGGCACCGCCCCGCTGCACGTGGAAGATTATCCTCTTTCTGCCCAAACCCCGAGCTTTGACGGATTACGAGTAATGCCCGGCGAGACGCAAAGACCACGCCTTATGTTATTAAAACACTTTATGAATATTGGTGTTTGTCTCCATGTTTCCGCCGCAATGGTAACCACAAGTCAGGGAATGCCAGTATCGGGAAATATGGATGACCATAGCAATGCTGCTAATGCTCGTACAAATCCTCGGGGGCCAGTATATTAACTACCACAGCCTACCAAGTCACGAGGTCCATGAGGTCGTGTGAACGACACCACACGTTGCATCACTTGGAAGATCTCATTGGCTTGGGAAATATTTCGCCGAGAATCCCGACCATGGCGGATGAAATCATCGTGACCGCATTTTGGCGGGTATCATGGCGAGAAGATCACAGATTTTCAGGTTAGAGGGGCTCGACATCAAGGTAAAAATAATTAAATCTGGAACAATGGCTCCAATGCACTTCTGCAAGCTGAGTCCACACAAAGCAAGCTGTCTCGTGCCAAGGCAGCCCTGGTCGGAGCGTCGTGGAGCTGAACAGGGGCACCTCAGGGTCACTCGACAGGGCCCCATGATGGCCCCATCGTGGCTGGGGCACGGTTGCAACCGAAGGAACCCCCTTAATTAGGGTTTCGCTGAAAGAGGATAAGAGCTTCCCAGTTTGGATAGCTTCTCCATTGAAGTGCGGAACTTCAACGGAAGGAGATCTTTCGCGATGGAGAATCCGCATCACGACATTCCTTCCAGAATGCCCGCTAACCAACCCTACATCGCAACATCAGACGGAAAAGCCCTATGAATAGACACGATGCTTGCTTGACAGCACGGCTATCGGCCGCCATCTCTTCGCTAACATGCAAGATCTTTTGGGCTGACGGTATGATACACGAAAATAACCTTCCCGGTGGGATGTAGCAGCTTTGCTCCACGTGAACATGACAGTCTAGCCTAAAGTGAGGCTAGCGAAGATGCCCAGAGCAAACCTGTTTATCTTATCACACATCATATAAATTCATTTGTGAAGATGATCTGACACGTAACCCGGCGCTGAGGGCGCCCATACAGGTGCACATGCGAAAAACGTGCTCTCTCACAGGGACGGGGATTTGGCCGTCAAATCCGGTCATGTAGCGGCTGTGACAAATACGATTAAGGCGGTTCATGACTCTTGTTTTCGTCTGGGCACGAATGACTTTAGACTTAAACAGTTCGTGAGCTTGTTTGATGCGGGGCACCTCACTATCGTGAGCCGGTCTGGAGTAAAGTGGTGGCATCGGACTCAGGCCGAATTGGTGTGCGTTCCGCCGTAGCATTGCCGAGCTTAGCGTGCACCAACCACCATCACGTTGTCGCATTATCGTCGAGTCGCTCGACTTGAGTGACGGACCAACTATATTGCCCTATATCGCATGACATGGGGCAGCAATATAGAGAAACTGGCGATACGAAAGCTGAAAATCAACGACACAACCTTGTGATCACATCATCGTCGATTGATGGAGATAGAGTGATTAGATTACCATTTGCTACGGAAAGGGCCCGACATGTCATAGAAAGTGAAGATACGAAAGCTGAAAACCAAGCATCGTAGCCGAGGGACCAATGTCACAATATCATGGTGACGACAAGTTCCGCTGTACGTGATTAAGTGCACATCAAAGCGATTTCAAAATAGTTAAGGGATGAAATCGTATTGTCAAGAGCAAATTCTAACAAGAGAGAGACACATCGCCACAGCTAATGACAGTCAAATCATAGTCGCATAGCGATCAAAATAGAGCACGATGAGTAATTATGCTGGACACAATGCAAGTCTATAGTCATCTATGGGACAAACTGCGAACAAATAGACAATACACGAGACACCACAGTACAGGTATATGATACGAACACCAACAACGCCTAGAATTTCGTAACTAAACGGACCAAATTCCGCTAACGATTTGTCAAAAGCCACTTCCTGGTCAAGATGCCATTTCTCTGAAGATCTCCTAGGCACCACGATCCAGAGAGCCGGCTAAGGATGTGGGTGGAGCAATGATGAATGTTCCCAGCCAGCCTTACGGACAGGCTTCGGCCGGTTCGCTTCGTGTGTGGTATGTTGTTCAAAGAGAAAAGGCAGGACTAGTGCAAAAACAAGCCCTGTGGTGATCTGGACCCCAGCATCTCCACGAGACGCTTAGCAGCGGCCGCGGACGGAGTCGGAGTCGGCCTTGCAGTAGAGACCCTTGCCGTCGGCGCAGGCGAAGCCCTCGCCGGTGGCGATCTCACGGCAGGCAGCCTCCCACTCCTTGCCGGCAAGCTGGTCGTTGTCGGTCTTCTTGACGCACTAGGGGGGCGGGTTAGCGAGATTGATGGGATAGGCGAGCCGCGAGCGGCTCGCTGTGCAGGGGAAAAAACTAACGCGTCCAGAAGCCTCGTCGTAGACGCCGACGCCCCACTCGTAGTTCTTGGAGCTGTAAAGCTCGCAGGCCTTGGTGGTGATGCGCCAGTTGTAGCTGTCGCCGTTGTGGCAGGCGCAGCTGTCGTGCAAGTTGGCGGAACTAAGTGTCTGTTAGCCACTGATGTTCGATTGCTAGGGAGAACAGTTGAGACTTACGCAACGGAAACAAGCACGAAGAGGGAGGCGACCTTAGCAATGGAGAACTGCATTTTGGCGGTGTTGATAGTGGTTGGGTGGGATGGGTTTGGAGAAGGTAGTGACTGTAACGGAGTTGGTGGTGAAATGAATGAACTGAGTTGGTTCTGATTACTAGATCGGAACAAGAAAAGAATGTGGTGGGCGTGGATGGAGCTGGAAGTGAGATATCATGATCCTGGGGCGGAGGCTCTGGTGGTTTATATCCACGGATGACTTCCACGTGCAGTACGAGTCAAGTGCCTACTTTGTGATAAACAACTGGACACCTCCATGCGCACCCGTCGGATACTGCACACACCACAACCACGCGGATGACCAGGACGTGCCAAGTTCCAACGAGCGGTAAAGGTCATCCGACTGCTCAGTGCGCAGCGCGCTGGGTCTCCACCCGAACCGCCATTACGTCCGGCGACCCTTTCACCGAGTCCGACGACCCTGTGGCCTGTCAAGGGAGTTTGATCTTCATCTACTGCGGACGCGCCGGTGGATGCCATGTCACCTCTCGGCGCCCCTCCGGGCGGTGCTGGAAATCCCTTGATGGCATCGTGGGCTAGTCTCCTCGCTCCCGTTATCAAACTCTATGCGCGCCCTAAAGGGGAAGCTAAGCGTGAGGCGAGAAGCGAAGCAGGGCATCGTTCAGCCCTCTGGGGCTTCGGTGTTGGTGATTTCCAAGCTAGCTGGGCTGATGGAGGAGTATTCGCGTCTGATGGACCATGGTGGGCTTCCTGGTCCAGGGGTGGAAAGACGGGGTCAGCAGGGGGCCAGGATTGCATGAGTAAATAATCTCTTGCCTCATTGGGGACTGCAGGGGCATGGATGATGTCGCATGAAACGGTGAGCCGGGGCCGGAGTGAGGTTGTCATGACTCGGTAACCTTCCCGAAAGTCAATTGGGCAGAAACGACCTCAGAGCCGCAAAACTCCACGCTCTGCACACCTTGAGCTCCCTTCTTAGCCCGGATCTGGTTGGACGATTCTCAATGTGAAACTGGGAGACCCCAGTATTGCCTTGTTCGTGTTCGTGCTATTGAATGCCATCTGATATCCATCCGCGCCTCCCCCCACTGCCGGGACCGCACCGATCTCCGGTTTGCAGCTCTCGAGTCATTGGCAAGTCGCACTGCAGTTGGGCCTGCCTCAGTCATAGTATGAAGCCGATATTATCTCTTCTCCCCATTAGGGAGTTGGATGACATTCCGCCCTGGAAAGCACCTGGCAAGCTGACCTTGTCGATGTGATCACAGGTGCTTCTCCTGCACCGGCATCCCCGGACTTGCGCTTGGCTTGTGCTCGACTGTCCGTCGGCCGACTATCTTGCGCGCGGAAGTGCGCTTCACCGTCTATGCTGGGACAAGGGACATTGAGGCAGTGGAAACATTCGAGCGCAACGGCCAGGCTGCGGCTTGTCAAGCAACGAACAGACATCCGATAGTCTAAAGGTTCTCGGACTGGGGATGGCCCTTCACAGCCGCCGCTCGAGATACAACATGTCCCTGTTGTATAAAGACAGCCGACTCCCACCCACAGTCTTGGAATCATCACCTTGAAAGGCCAGTCCATTCTCCGTTACCATTCGTCCCCCACACTCTTTTCCCACATCAACCTTCACTCTTTACTTCTCAAAGCCACTCCTTTGCAAGAGACCCATTTACACTCTTTTCAAACCCTCAAAATGCGCTTCTCCATCATCGCCCTCTCAGCCATCCTCGGCGTTGCTGTCGCCGCCCCGGAGCCCGTCGCCCTCAACTACGATGACGTCGTCGTTGTTGGCGAGGATGACTCCTACACGGTCATGAAGGACTACGAGTACGAGGCCATCAAGGCCCGTGACCTCCAGATTGCCCCCAGAGCTCGCGTCGCCTCTGCCCCTGAGCCCAGCCTCAAGCGCCGCGGCTGCGAGGAATCCACCGAGTTCCAGATCCTCACCGACGACACCTTCCTCAACTGGGACGTCCCCATGTCTCCCGTCGTCAACTCTGTCGGCAACGACGTCGCTGTCTCTGTCGACAAGGGTTACTCCCTTGCCAACTCCGTCGGCGTCACTGCCGGCCTGTCCTACACCATCCCCAAGATCGCCCTCGGTGTCTCTCTCTCCGTCTCCTACACCAAGACCTGGACTTCCACCGAGTCTCAGAACCTCCGTTTCACTGTTCCCGAGGGACAGTTCGGTCTCGTCGTCTCCCAGCCCCAGGTCCGCCGCATCACGGGAAACATCCTCGAGGGCTGCACCGACTCCCCCAGCTACACCCCCTTCACCTCCGACACCTACACCGACCAGTCCTACGGCAACCTCAACTGGGTCAAGGGCGTCATCCGCCTTTGCAACAGCACCACCTACCCCGTCCCCTTCTGCATCGGCGAGGGCTCCCACAACTAAGCGCGTGCGCGTTAATCGATATGGACCGACGACATCGCCATTGAGAGCGCCTCGTAGACGAGACCTGGCGAGAGTCATGTTTGTGAACTTTGCGAACTTTGCGAGTAGCCATTACCCCTCAGGGACGTCTGGAACGGAAAGGAGCTTTAGAGGTCTCCTCTTACAACCCCCCGGGACACTGCCACACACGAGTTAATGTCAATACACTTTGTCCTCTTATACCACCCTCTGCATCTGTTATCACGCGAGTTATGTTTGTTTCCTGGTTTTGTGTACTGTTAGACTTTGGGGATAGAACTGGAGTAGACTAGCAACATGCTATGTTAAGATCAATTACTGCCTTTACACAAGTGACTGCCTAGTTGAATTCAATGCTTATTGCATTATTCAAGTGTGCGATAAAATGTCTTCATCTCCATTGTCTCTTTTGAGGTTGATCAAGTAAGCTTAATTGCCTTGCGTTGTATTGACTCGATCACGAGACTTTGTCACAAGACACTTAGCCATTATTGAATGTGTTTGCATAGTCTTGAGTCAGATACCCTATTGCAACTGCCAGTCGGCTTGCAACCTCGCGGCCCGATGCCTTCACGACTTGCTAACTAGCCGACTCCAATGCTCCATGTTGCGTACCACCTCATGTGATTGCTGCCTCACCTGAATTCTTATCCCCAGCTCATTTGCGTATTCGGATGCGGGTTCTCGGATCCGTCAACTAATTGACGACTCATCATGCCTATCACCTCGTGCATTGTAGTTTATAATCGGTAGTCAACCCCGAGATCCAATATAAGTTAATTGAGTCAACACGCCTCGAACCTCCGCCAAGCCACCTTTCGACCACAAAGCTTGGTAACGGCGGTATCTGTAATATTATTCGTATGAGTTGTCCAGAAACCAGCCCCGCCAGTTCCAAACGTTCCCATATTCTGAACATGGTAATATTCGGGGCCAGTCGGAGCCGAGTTCTTCAACTCAGGAGACCTCTGGCGAGTCAGTTTTGCGGGATGGCACGTCCCGATTGCAGCTGCTGAATGCTCACCTGATGCTCAGTGCCCCTGTCGGTGTCATGAGAGTTTCGGCGAGCTTTCATAGACAATCGTAAATACCCACGAACACCTCGGCGACATCTAGGCTCTCTCGGCGACACGTGAAGAGGGTCGTCGTCAGCCCCTACAGCCCCGTTGGGCTGTGAAATATCAGTGACCACGTCGTGTGTCATCGATATTCAAGTACTGACCGACTCGCGGCCTCTCAAGGGTCGAGTGGGCCCTTTTGGATGCCTCCGCGGCACTATTGTCGCCAAAACTTGGTACGCCCAATCTCCCGATTTCAAGTTTCGAAGCGCAACTAGCCTTCGACAACTAACAATCTCCGTTCATCCGCAACCTCACAGATATATAACCCACGACGCACCATTTTCGAAGCACACTTACACAAATATTGGCCTTTTTGGTCATTGTACGTTGAACGAAACTCAGCATGTGGAGCGTTCAAGGACTCCCTCACGACGCTGAGTCAGTATGCAATTTGGATGAGGTCAGCACCGACCACTTTTGGAGCAGTGCAAGCATTCCGCTCACGTGGGAAACAATCAACAGAGTTTACCGAAGAGCCTGCCTGCTCCATCACGGGAGATGTTGCACTGGAAGTTAAAATTGTGGCATTCTGTCATGTTCACTCGACTCAGTCGAATGCAGGTGATCGGTTGAGATCCGTGATGGACCTTTCACACGTTTGTTTCCCCGGGCCCGCTCCGCGAGATCTTGACATATCCTCCGAAGGAGAGTTCCGCTGGACAACTCCGGAGCCCGGGCCACCGAAACATTTCGGCCGCGTTGCCCACCTTCCGATGTGATCAACACAACGTTCGCCGAATCGGGATGTCAACTTTCCCACTCTCTCCCGGCAACAAGAGTTGGCTTATCTGTTCAGTTGACTCGTGCTCCATGCCGCTGAGGGCAAAACACATGGTGTTGGTGAACTCCCCGTGTCACTGTGTTGAAGCAGCACCAATCAACTCAACTCTGAGACTCAAGGCTGATGTGTCATTTCCCGGTCAGCCACTCGCGCTGCAATCGCGACCGCGCGATATGGAATTTTTTTTTTAAACGAGCTAATGTGCAGTATAGGCCATGAACATTACTATCGATTGAGCGTACCAAAAGTTGAAGTGAGGTTGAAGACCAATTGAGGTTGAAGCGCTACACTCTTATCAAATGCAACCTCATCAGACGAACGCCCGCAGCCAAGGAACCCTGCAAGTCCAACTGTCGGTGCAAACTCAATCTAGGCTTTCCTTGGCATATATTCCGATCCCAAAGATCTGGATTTAAGTTGCGATTGTTTCAAATTCGTAGTGGTGTGGTCGATCGGTAACTTTCTTCAACACATGACTCAATCACTGCTGAAGGTTCACTGGGGGGCCCATGCCAAGAGCTTAAGAGAAAACAACTAAAGTTCTTTGACGTTCAAAGAAGCAAAACAGTGGCTGACGACATTTCTTGGCCATCTTGGCATACTAGATCGTATTAATGCCCGCTCAAACTATTCAAGAGATGGAGACATTGAACTTTTGGCTGTCAGCTACATAAATTTCACTTTTGACGAAAGCAATACGCACCTGCCACTGTCCACCGCTGCGAAAGTAGTATCAAAGCTTCCATGGCCAATTGCAGGGTCGTGTCTGCGCCATCGGCAACATCGCCCTCGCGGACGAACCACTGGCATTCAGTGGCAATGTCGTACAGAACTTGGATCGCAAGTGGGCTCAGACTATTGAGGTCAATTGCGGCCTGCTGAATGACAAAGGTGGCGATCATTGGGCCGCGTGTCGATATGATTTGCTTCAACCCGCGTATCGAAGCATTTTGCATATTGCTTTCCTCCGGTAACCTCTCCCCTCTGGCACCGGGTTGGATGCATGCGTAGCCATGATACAAAGTCAGCCGTGCGACTGTACAAAGAGCTAGGTCGACAATCGCCGACCCGCCGTCCGTAGACTGAGAAAGGTGGGAATCGAGGGCTCCCAACGTGGCTTCGAGCTGGAGTGCCTGATCCAGAGTTTCCTTTTGAATCACGGAGTCTTTTCGAGAGTTCCTATGCGCAAGCACTCGACCGAGTATATGGGAAGCCTGACAAGTTCGCGCAAAAGGACCAATCTCCGAGTCGGTTGAGAAGCCTGTCGTGTAAAGCGGTTGGCTTGTTCCTATTGATCCGCGGAACCATTCCGCGTCTGATATAGGCAGTAGTTCGCCTTGAACAGGCTCGGGGGTAGCAAGGGGAAATCCCGTGGGGCCAAGGTTCATGTAACTATCACAAGTTAGTTGCCTATGACTGTTTGTTTCTGCTCTGCGAAAACTCCAGGGCTCTGAGATTATCCTATAAACATACCGCTCCAATATGGAAGTTGCCCACCATGTCCTTCGCTCCTCTTCCCAGTGAGTCCAAGTTGGAGGAGTCTGGAAGAGTTGCGTAGCATTGTTACGATCATGCACCCCTCTCAAAAGACCGAGCCTTGCAGCAAGACTAATCGTAAGGTAAGCTGTGGGACATATGCCGTGGCCAATCTCGTAGAGAGCTATGAGCACGAGAGACTGGAAAAGACGCATAGACGTGGGAATGATGATTTCCAACGCATTTGCAAATCTTCGAGCAGCTTGATAGGTAGGTGATTCGGTAGCAGATTGATGCATGTTATCGGCTGCAGGAGATCCTGATACAAGTTTCATGCAGAGCAGCAGTAGGGCCAATTCTGCCGAGACACCTGCTTCTAGGTCTTGTCTCACCTTCTTTCTACTGACGAATGGAAACCAGAGGTCAACAGAGCCGAAATACGATTCACAGATAGCCATCATGTTGGGACCAAGAAGCTCGGAGATGTACGGGGGCACTTCCGATGTGCAGCGCAAGGCGTCGTGAGAGATCGGCTGGAATAAGTCTGCATCCAGGAAGAATGCAGTCGGGAAGTTGGAAGCAGATGGAGCTACAAATGTTGAAACTTCAGACGCCGAGGTTGGTGTTGACATTGATGTGAACTGCATGTCTTCCAGATCTTCCTGGGGCGAGCCATAGGCCTTGCGGCCGGCTGGGTACTGGCACTTCTTCCCGAGCCGAACGCACTTGCATCATCAGCATCTGCAATAGCTAACGAAACGCGCCAGAGACATACTAGAGCACAGGAGGGAAGATCTTTCGGGCACTTCCTCTTGAGGCGCCTAAGCAGAAGTTAGGCATCCCTGGATGGCTCATCTTGCAGCCTTGTGAAAACTTGCCTGCATTGACGGCATGATTGAGGCGCCCGTTCCGTAGGGCCATCCGAATGGATATTGGTCTCGGAAATGGAAGATGACATAGTTGCGACAGGGGGAAAAGAGAAATTCACCGGCAGGCAGGACGGCTTGCCCTCCTGGACTTAGGGATTGGAGTGAAGTGAAGGTGTGGTGCGAGGTCCGCTGCTACGTCCGCTCATGCTTTTGGCACGCTTGTTAGATAAATGAGACTAGCATCGGGCAAACTCTTCCGCTTCACGTCGAACGGCCACAGCGAATGCGGGACAATGAGGGAGCGAGCTTTGCGAAACCTCAGTCTGACATGCAGAAAAAGCGGCCGTCGCCGGGCCGCCAACCACGTGTGGCATCTTTATCGGCGCAACCTCAAAGCCGCTGTCTTTCCTCCACTATTTCCGTGTTGCCTGCTGCTGAAAAGCGCATTCGGGGTGCCTGAATCGGACATAAGCTCAAAAGTCCCTCGAAGGATCGGGACTAGCGACGCCTCCCAGGCTCGTTCCGCTAAGCCCTGTCGATTGCCCTATCCAAGAAAGTTGGAGCGGACAATTGGAAGCTCCTGGGCGGACATTTCAGTACGTCTTTGGCTTGAGAAAAGCCGCTTTCCCCGCATTTCTGGGCGGAAACTGTGAGGGCATCGCGGCGGCGTGGTATCGACGATAGCCATAAGCGGGCATTTGGGGATGCAGGAAACGGAAAATTCCTCATGCATGACATGCAGTTGTTTGGAAGTGCGAATGGAGTTAAGGGAGGGAAAAGGGACTCCCAAAAATATAAAATAAGTCTGGATTCTCTGCATCGTGTCTTGGAAAACAGATCATCATCACACTCTTCACACATTCATACAAGCAGACTCCCCAGCAATCACAATTTTCAAGTCACTGTAAAACATTTCATCAACTCTCATATCAAAAGTCGCATCATCAATCGTTGCAATGGACGCCTTCCACCCCTACGCTGATCTCTTCGCCAACCCCAAGGGCCCTGGAGATGCCCGCCCCACCGCGCTTCAAGTCATTGAGGACAGCAAGCTCGGCAACGAATGGACGGACCGAGTCGTCCTGATTACCGGAGGCACTTCCGGAATCGGTCTTGAGACCGCTCGTGCGATCCACACTGCCGGCGCCGACGTCTACATCACCGCTCGAAACTCCGCGAAGGCCAAGGGTGTCGTAGAAGACATCACCAAGTCTTCCAAAGGCAGTGGAAAGCTCGAGGTCATTGACATGAACTTGAGCTCCCTCGACTCTGTCAAGAAGGCCGCTCAAGATTTCTTGGCCAAGTCGACAAAGCTCAATGTGCTCATTACCAACGCTGGTAGGTCGCAATACCGAAACTCACCATCAGTGTAAAGATAAACTAAACATTCGCGTAGGTATCATGGCCCTCGCCGAGCCAACCAAGACCATGGATGGTTTCGACGAACAGTTTGGCGTTAACCATCTGGCTCACTTCACCTTCACCACCCTGCTCCTCCCGACGCTCATCAAGAGCAGCACCCCTAAGTTTAACTCCCGCGTCGTGGCCATCACATCCTCGGGTCATAGATTCTCCCCTGTCAGGTTTGATGACTACAACTTCACCAACGGCGAGTACAACCCTTGGCTTGCATATGGCCAGTCCAAGACTGGCAACATCTGGATGTCCAACTACATCGACCGTGTCTATGGTCCCCGCGGAGTGCACTCCGTGAGCGTCCAGCCTGGAGTCTGCACGACTCCTCTCCACGTGCACATCGACCCTGCGCAGGCTGAGACATGGATGTCAGACCCGGCGGTTGCAGCTGGCACCAAGACCCCAGAGCAGGGCGCTGCGACGCCCACTTGGGCTGCTGTTGCGGATGTCTGGGAGGGCAAGGGCGGAAAGTATCTATTCGACGTCGCTCTCGGTGGCCCTGCAGCTCCAGAGACTACATTGGCCATGGCGGATCACGGATATGGGGCCCATGCTTTTGATGAGGAGGGAGAGGATAAGCTATGGGACCTCAGCTTGAAGCTTACTGGTGTCGAGCTGGAAGTTTAGATTTTCTTGGCATGCTTTGTATGATATAGAGGTTGTGGTTTAGTTTCATCTCTTGCGGGTTTCTTTGATAGACTGGTTTCCTATGTTCAATAGCAAAATACTACTCTATGTTATTCAACAGTTCCACGAAGGATAGGCTCTCGGGCGAAAGCGCTCCTTTGACTTTCCACTAAGGTAGTACCGATTCCAACTTTCGCCGATAAAGGACATCCAAACCCCGAACTAGTCATCAAGTCATTGAGTGATTGTCAATTTCTCATTTATAAGGTCTCTAAGTTGTCGGTTGAAGTGTCGTAATTGCCGACGTAGCGTCACATTGGCGTAAAGTAGCACGAAGAGCAGCCGGTGGGATATGCATGAACGTACCATTTCACGCAGGCTTCCATAAATACATACGCTTTTCCATCAGAAGTGCATTACCCTTACATTTACGTCCAATAAAAACAGCGCAGTAATTATCCAGGAGTTCATCACCCCCAACCGTACTCGGCATTATTCGATTCTTACAAGACACCTCGAACAGACGACAATCCAGTATCCCCAACGTGCTTGCTTGAAGTAATTCGGAATCAACACTTCTTGCAAATGCTCATTTGTATTCTTCGGCCTCGAAAGTCAAAACTCGAGAAGATGCGAACCGGTCGGGCAGCTCGGCCTAGGAATGGACCGGAGTGTCCGGATCAGTGCCCTTGCGGTAGTTGAATTGAGTTTGATTGCTAGACCGAGCTACTCGGGTCACCTTAGCTCAACTCGTGTGCGCGTGCAACCCGGTGGGAGATGTTTAAAATGCGGGGGATTCGCCGTCCAACACTGTCCCGATTCTCTACTTCCTCATCGCTTCATTTGTGTTCGTCCAACGTCAATTTGTGGGATGATGTGGAGCAGCCTGGCTCAACAAATGCGCCGCACATTACTGTTAGGCTTCATAATGTCAGTCCTCCTTGCAGTAGAAGGCGTTACCTCCTCGACCGCTGGTGAGGTATGTTCGGCTCTCGCTGCGACGTTACCAGCCGAGGCGTTCCTGGCGCCGAACTCAACCGGATATCAAGCCATCAAAGATAACTACTGGAGCCAAACTGCCAGCAGTCTGAGCCCGATCTGCATCACTCGTCCCAAAGACGCACAGCAGGTGGCATCCATCGTCAAAATACTGTCTTCCTCCGGTAAAGATATTCGACTAGCCATAAAGAGCGGAGGCCATGGGTCATCGCCTGGTTGGTCTAATACTGATGGCGGCGTCCTCATCTCGCTGGACTTGATCAACGGGACCCAAAACGTGGCCGACAAGGGCCACGCTATCGTGGGAACCGGTGCGCGTTGGGTTGATGTGTACAAAGCATTGGAAGCCGAGAAGGTGACAGTCATAGGGGGCCGGTTCTCAGCAATCGGGGTTGGCGGTCTCCTCGTCGGAGGCGGTCTCAGCTACTTCAGTGGCTTACACGGGCTTGCATGCGACAACGTCCTCAACTATGAGGTTGTTCTGGCTGATGGAACTATCACCAACGTCAATCAAACCTCCGAACCCGACCTTTTTCGCGCACTCAAGGGCGGCGGTAATCAATTTGGTATCGTGACGCGCTTCACTCTCAAGACCTATCCTCTCGAGCCACAGATCTGGGGTGGCATTCTGTCCTTTTCCATCGACAAAGCCGACCAGGTTTTCAACGCTACGCAGACCTTCAGCGCGAAGTACGTCCCCAATTCACACATCTACCTAAGCATGGGAGGCGGCGCGAATCCACAGTTGTCCTTCCTCAACGTGTACGTCTTTTATAACGGCCCCTCTCCACCTGCCGGGGACGCCAGTCCCTTCGCCCCTTTCTACGCAGCCAAGCCCATGGCAGACAGCACCGCCTCACAGAGTTATTCAGCCCTCATTGCTTCAAACAACAATGGAAATCTGCCTCTCAAGCGCTGGCTGATCGGTGGTCATACATTTCCGAACCTTGAGGCGCCGCATGGGGGCAACCTATACCTTAAGCACTGGCAGAGTTTCCGGGACAAAGCCAACGCCACGGCGGCCGGGGACGTAGGTCTGCTCTTCTCCATGGCCCTCGTTCCAGTTCCCGCTCGCGTCATGAGCGCTGGCGAAAATGTGACGGGCGTCAAAAACGTGATGGGTCTCGAGCCAGATGCTGGCGACACTGCGTGGATCGACTACTCACTCGCATGGGCAGAGGCGAAAGACGACGCAAAGATGTTCGCGTTCGTCGAAGAAATGAGCAAGGAGGGTGATTCGATGGCGACGACCTTTGCCCCCGGCGTGCTCAGTTCGAATGCTGTCACTGGATCTGCAGCCGTCAAGAACGCAGATTTCTATCGGACGAACCCAAGGTACATGAACTATGCACTGCTGAATCAACCTGTGCAGGCGAGTTACGGCCAGGAGAATCAAAAGTTCTTGCGGGATGTGCAGAAGCGATATGATCCAGCTGGTCTGTGGAGGCGGGACGGCGGGTTTTTATGGGATTGATGAAATTGCCTTGGTTAATTCTGTTTCAAAGACTGTGTAGTAAATGAACAAACTTAGAAACCAACGTTCTCAATCACCTCTCGACGAACGTTATCGCTGGTCTTGCAATGTTTGGATCTTGACGTGACACCTCCATCGCGGATTCTATGCAGTTGCAGCTACTATGGACGCTAGCAATCCAGTGATGGGGCTGTGTCCAGCTACGCGATGCTGCTGAGATGCAGTCAACGATACACAGGTCGCACGCTTTCAGACTTTTGCGGCTCATTGAATCGTTTGATACTCTGACGTCCATCAACCCAGACGCGGCAAGTCTAGCCAAGTATATGTGCCGCGACGCAGCCCGTTTGTGTGATGGAGAAGATTACGATGCTCGCTCATTGATGGATTCCTTGATCGATGTTCTGACATGCGTTCCGGCGAATCAAAGCTTGCTTTTCACTAGTATTCTGTATCCCGAACCCCGATGATGCAACCGAACACAGCTCGCAACTTTAAAAGCCCCTCAATTGCAACCCTAAAGATAACTATTCCGTTGTTCTGAATGAGTGCTTCAATAAAATTCCAGTCTCACCTAAATCGCGGAAATCGAGAATTAAGGTGCGATGCATCCTTCCGGCACCTATTGACTTCCTGGTCCAATCAGGTCGCAGAGATTTCCGTCCAGCCCCAAAAGTCCCCTGCATACCTGCGGGAGACTTTTGGCACCCTTGAAGCCATGCAGGAGACCCTTGGCAAGCTATGCAGGAGACTTTTGCCTGTCGATATCCTCAACCTGAGGAACCAAGAAAGCCGTGATAAATAGAGCTCACATCCCGGACTGCGAGAAAGGACTGTTGGTGCACTGCTCCGGCGTTTCTCAACGGCCACCATGTTTCCCAATGACATTACTGATCCGATATTCGACCTCGAACTCGAAGAATTTCACAACCATGTCTTGCTTTTAGGCCTCTACAACACTTGGCAGGAAGGGCCCGATTGTGACAACACCGATTTTAGCACTGCCGCATCACAGATACCCACCTCCTTCACGCCTGACACGTCCTTCTTCGGAGCACAAACGAGTATAAATGACTTTGACTTCGGCCATCAGGTCTCGCTCCAGCAGGACTATATGGGTCGTTTCACGCCACAGGAAACGGCAGCTCAGAGCTTACCGGAGTGGCAAGGTCTGATCGCCAACCATGTAGCATCTCACAATACCGTAACCAACGCCGATATGCCACAGCAGGGATTTACGGTCGCTCAGGCTATGCCAATACCCCACATAACAAAGAAGCGCCCAGTATCAGCCAGCGATTGGGATGACAGGCGTGACACGATCGAATATCTCTACTCGATAGAGGGCAAGAAGTTGTCTGAGTTGATGAGTATCATGGAGGGCGAGTATGGCTTCGTCGCTACGTAAGTCAACATTCTCCCTTTAATCAGACAGATGTCGATGAAACTCACATCCGTACCCAGTCAAAGACAGTACAAGCGCCAATTAGGAAAGTGGCAAATAGAGAAGAAGGTGAAAAGAGACGAGATGAGAAAGATTTTGCAGATCCAGAAGCGGCGACGGGTTTTGGATGGCAAAGAAACAGCTTTTGTTGTCAGAAATCAACCGGTAACAGAAGAGAAGATCAAACGTTTCGTGCAGAGAACACGTATTGCAGCAAGTCTACGCAGCCCTGCATGTAAGTAAAACTTGTGAGACGGCTAAGAGAGCCCGTGTCCTATATGTATTCTGACCGCTTACAGGGCCAACTCCACATTTCATGTTGTACTACACACCGCGCGTTCGCATGCCCTCTTCGAGAAGTGCGACGCAAAGGCCGACGAAAAGGCCGTCCGCCGAATCAGCAGAAGGGACCGTAAGGTCGATCAAGCCCCCTAAGAACCCTCGTAGGGGCTTGGGGCGTTGGCGCAGAGGACCCCAAGTTCCCTTCGAATTTTCCCGTGCCATTTTCCAGGGGCAACGAAACTTTATGCGATTGTGCGTTGGATACAGAAACAAAATGTGTTGGTCTTTTCCAGACAAATCAGTCTGCTTCTGGTGCACGCAGAAGTACTCAGCCCCACCATCATCGCCGGTGAAGCAGGCATGCATCACGTGCCTGCCAGCCGACGGACGGAACTTTACGACTTCGCTCATTTGGCGCGAGTGTCCCCTGTTGAGAATGTGGCGATCTGCCCGCCGAAAGTCAATACACTGATAGGTCCGAAAATATGAGTAACGATCTCTGAAAGTTTGGTGTTTCCCGCAATGCATTCGATGTGCATGTGATACTTCAGAAGCGTGAACTGGAATCCCGAGAGGAGCGCTGAAGATACTGAGCAGGTGTGCGTGGTCAACAAGCTTAATAAGGCCAGCAACACAGCCACGCAAGCAAAGTGGTCAAATGTCGAGATATGTGCCGCCAGGGCCGGACGAAAGAAAAGCCCGACATTCCGAATATAAAAGCTACGAAAATGAACCAACGCTGGCCGACAATGGAGTTGCGAAGCACACTAGATCAGCAACATTAAAGGAGAAATAGACAGGACTGGAGCTAGGGCACCAGCAGGAACCGGGGACAGACAGCAGTAGGAGTAATATCACGGTGCTCGACATCGAATTGAACATTCAACAAACAGTATCATGTTACCCAGGTTTCTATAACGGCTTCTAGAAAGGCCTCGGGTATGCTATGTCACTTGTACGTAAGTCTGACCCGTGCTTCGAAGACAACGCTCAACTCAACTCAAATTCAGACACGGAACGTCGTTTGCACTCAACGCGGGTCTCATGACATCAACCTACGCAGCCAATACAAGGAAATCGACTGCATCGGCAATTGCGTTTGCGGGCTAGGCTGATGGGGTGATAGCATGTCCTCGTGAGTAAGCATGGAAGGTTAAGAACAAGAATACTAATCAACTGACGAAGCCATAGAGTTCTTCTTGAAGAGCGAGGCCCCAACACAACATATGGCTTTCAGAATGTTGAGTAAGTGGCCTGCGCTTTTGGTCGACTCGCGCTCATCTGAAGGACTTAGTAATTTGCTACGCAATTGTGATTGCAGTGCCGATTTGCCAGATATCCTGGTACAATCGTGAAAACTCACGGCGTCAGAGAAGTGTTGAAGAACAGAACCTCAGTATCTTGCCTGGGTCAAGGACTGATTTTACGCATAAGACGAACTTAGAGCGATTAGAGACCTTTAGATATGCCATGTAGAGGCCCAGGGGCAATGGGCTGGTAGTACGCACAATCAATCATTCAATGCACGATGCCGTGTGGTGTTACACGATGTTTTCCCTGAGCGTTGCTATCCGTATTGACGGAGAATTCGATCGTTATTGGTTTGTTATAAACCATTATCCATCATCCTCTTCGGCGTCCTTACGGTGATTCCTCTCACTGGGCCTACCGCTTTCCCCAACGTCGTTGTTCTCTCGATGATATCTGGCTATTCGTCTGGTTACACATACTCCATTATCTGTCCGTAGTGATCAAAACTCATTGAAATTGTCTGTTCGCCCAGCACAGCACAGCACACGCCGCGATTGACATGACGACACATCTGTGAAGCTCACCCGAAGTCAAAGTAGCAAGATAAAACGAATAACGAACCGTTGACAGTCCGGCGTAGAGCGGGTTGTCCATCAAAGTTCTTTTAGACAACTATAGGCTCCCCGAGTGTCACAAGGACCGGCTACTCGCAGACATATCACCAAGGATGACCCCGCTGACTAGCCATATATGGGCATAAGAGGCATAGCGCGTACGGCGGCGGAGGTCATGGAGCTATTAATACCGGCCGTGTTCGCTCTCCGATTGATAGTCACACCTGATTTACTTTTTGGTGGCCGAAAACAAGTGAGGAGAAACAACAAGTTCCTTACAATTGACCAATGCCACAGAACACCGTTGCAAGCGTATCTTGAGGGCTATAGGCCATTAAATATCACCATAATTGTTATTTTCCATAGTCAGTGAACTGGTAGTCTCACTGCAAAACAATGACCATCGTGAGGAAAAGCCCGCGTGCCGGTAAGTTCTCTTGAAAGAAAGGTCCACCATCTTAGCTGACACCAGCGTAGTATGTTACACGTGTGAAACACGTAGGATTCGCTGCAGTAATGCAAATTCAACACCATACACAGAAGCAGACAAGCCTTCGACATGCTTCAATTGCGAACGGCTGGGATTTCAATGCCAATGGCGGGCACCAGAGCCTGGCGAGGATTATGATCCACCACCAAAACGAAGGCGGACGATTGGTCAACGTCGACAGGAATCGCAAGCCGCAGAGAACGGGCCTCTGTCCTCAGTTGATCCCTCGTCAGGTGCGACCGAAGCGAACAACGAGAACATTACACCAGTGTCTAAGCAACCGACACCGACAATCACACGAGATAGCCCCTTAGAGGATATTGATCATGCATCTCGTCAGTCTCCTGGCACACCGAATAGTCATCCCGCCGCTCCTGGGTTGGATCTCGGCTTCGAGACCGATTACTTCGGTTTTGATCTTGCAGGAGAGAACTTTGATGACTTCTTCCCTTTCCCAACTATCGGCAATCCTCTTCGGAGCTTGGCAAAATTGACGGGCGTTGACTCAGCTGTCGTTTGGCAGTTTGGGGCAGACAGTTCCAGTGCTCTTCTTGCTGAATTCTCTGTTCAGAGCCATGGCGACGTGTCAGACGTCGTCAACGACGACAACCGCCACTTGATTCAACATTATCTGGAGTCTATCAAGGGCTACTCCAAGATGGGCGACCGTGCGAAAGAGTCTAGCAATCTGTTCGTCTCGGTGCTTACGCAGTCGCTGACATTTCCGCCTCTTCTCTACGCTATTCTCGCCTTCTCGGCCTCCCATCTCTCCATCATTAACCCGGCGTATTGCGATGGGGCCTCCAGATTCAACCAGCTGGCCGAGGAAACCTTTTGTCAATACAGAAAGACTCATGCAAAAGAGATTTCAAGTCTTCTCTCGGCCCTCTTCATCCGGATCAAACAGCTTCATATCATGGGTGGTAGTATCGACGCTCTCTTCGATCTCATGACGGAGGTTGCCGAAATCGTATCGACCAAAGAATGTGAAAGGGCGCTAGCTGACCCAAACAGTCTCGTCCGAAGAATAGTCCTTCGTCTCGCTCTTCTAGACGCGCGGGGCACATGCTTCAGATTGGGACGTGGTAAGCTTGTGCGAGCTCTCGAGAGAATACCTGCTCTGTCGTTCATTTTCGCCTTCAACACCTCCATCGTCTCTACTCCGTCTTATAGCCTACTTCGAGCAGACATTCTCTGTCACAAAATTGGCGAGATTGATGCTAGACTCCACGACCAACTCGAGGCAGAGTTCGCCAGTAGCGGGCCTGTAAGAACTGCGGAGATCAAGTTACTGTATGAGAGCATTCGCAGGGAGCTTAAACCCTGCGATCGTGATAGGCCTCAGTCGACGGGAGCCCAGGCTTCTGACATCATAACGAATAAGGTTCTTGGTCCAGCCGAGTATAACTATCACATAATTTCATCGGCTCTGCACTCGGCCATTTTATACCTCTCACAAGTCTACGTAAGTCAACTCTTATATTACCTTGAATGAGTCCGTTCTCACGCGGTGCAGCCGATGCCAATCTTTGACGCGAACCAATCAATATCCAAAATCCTCCGGCATCAACTCAGGATCCAACACGACCCATCGCGAGCCAACTCACAGCCATCCATCCTGCCTTCATCGATGTTCTTGGCCGGCTTGTCTACCACGGACTGTATACATCGTGACTGGGTTATTAAAACGTTGCGGGAGGCAGAACCTTGGGGTGTTTACATCAAGAAGATTAGATTGCTCCTGGAGGCAATTCACACCATGCAAGCTGGAGGAAAGACGGTTGATATTTGTGACGCCATGGACCAGGTCACCGGTAGGTTCTTGATGTAATTCATGTTTAGATTAAGGTGTGTAAAGAACAAATTCAACCTTGGCAAAGAATCCTACATATCAACAGGCAGGTCCAGTCTTAACGGTAACCAACAGGTGACTTCTTGTTGGTCGTGAAACTGTTTCTGCATATCGAGACGGCCTCAATACCTATTGAGAATGGACGCTTGTCACACAAAGGTCGGCTCTATTCGCAATCTGGGAGGTGTTCGGTACATATATGGCGGAGTTGCCAACCTGAAAGTCGTTCATATTCCGCGGTGAAATAATGTTGAAGAGTGCTAATAATCCCGACGCCGCCTCCAACTTTCATTCAATCGCGAGACCACTATGGACCCTGGGCAGTTGAGAAGTCATTTTAGTGTCAAGTTAGCCATCCAGCTCGCATCATCTCCCCCATCACTTACGTACAACATCTCGGTCACCGAGCGGTGTTCGATGATATGTGGTTCTCATGTGACACATCGAATGCGAAGAATGTGATGTCATGTCGACCTCAGATCTACGTGTCCCCGAGAAGACAGTTACTTAAGACAGCACTCGTAAGATGGCTGAACAGGCAAAAACAAAGACCTTAACCTATGGTTAAAACACCGGAAAATCTAATAGCAAGCGAATTATTGAAATACCCCATAGCCCCAAACCTCGATCATGGCCTCCGGCGTTGCATCCCGATTAGCCAGCCGATCGGCTCTCCGACCGGCCGCATCCGCTCTCCGCGCGGCATTAGCCTCCGCCCCGCTTACCCGGTCTTTCACGGCATCGACTCCGGCAGCCTCCACAGCCGCCGCGCGACCAAAGGTGATGCTTGAAGATGACAACGGCTATGGCTTCATCCGGCACAACCCGCGGGACCCCAAGCCTCGCACCAAGTCGGTGACAGAAATTCGAGGTCCTTACTACTCGGTCATGGGCAAGCGGTACCTTGAAGATGTTTTCGAGACGTGAGCGCACCCCCGATTTACCTAGTGAAATTCCTGTATCTCACACTCGCTTCCAGGATGGGTCACTACGTGGACGGCCTCAAATTCGCCGGTGGCTCCTTCTCCCTATTTCCAGAAGACAAACTCAAGGAACTCATCGATCTCGCTCACCAACATGACGTCTATGTCTCTACGGTGCGCACAACCTTCCTTCTCCCTAAATTCGCCAAACGAGTTGACCTAACAAATCCTAGGGCGGTTGGATCGAGCACGTCTTAACCCAATCCGCCCCCCTCTCCGCCGTCGACCGCTACCTCGAAACCTGCAAACGCCTCGGCTTCGACGTCATCGAGCTCTCCACCGGCTTCCTCTCCCTCCCGCCCTCCGACTGGGTGCGCCTCGTCGAGCGCGTGCAGTCCTTCAACCTCACCCCCAAGCCCGAGATCGGGATTCAGTTCGGCGCCGGCGGCGACACCGCCGCCGCGGATCTGCAAAGCATGGGCAGCCAGTCCGACCCGACCAAGGTCGTCGACCTCGGCAAGCGCTTCATCGACATGGGCGTCGAGCGCATCATGATCGAGAGCGAGGGCATCACGGAGAACGTCGCATCCTGGCGGACGGACGTGATCCAGAAGATCCTGCGGGACCTGCCGATGGAGAAGGTCATGTTCGAGGCGGCGGACCCGGCGGTGTTCAACTGGTATGTGAGGGAGTTTGGGGTTGATGTGAATCTGTTCGTGGACCACTCGCAGATTGTGCAGTTGAGCGGGTTGAGGGCTGGGATTTGGGGGATGGCGGATACGTTTGGGAAGATTACTACTTTCCGGTGAACGAAATCCAGTCTTGAAGGTTTCTCAAATACTCTGCCATGGTAAACAAGTTTCATGGTGAGAGATTTCACAGCAGCATTCTCCGATGATACTGCCGTAGACGTTTAATCAAGCGTATTTTGGCGCTACTTAAGGCTGCCTGAAAGCTTGCTGCCAGTCGAAGGTACTACCTCAGATTCGGCTCACCATAATCCGAATGATGCGAGCCGCTCGCGACCGCTCATGCACTTGACATTTGAAAACGAAGCTGAGGCAATAAAGCCGTTCAAAATGTTGAACTCGTAGACGGCAAAAACGAGCCGTCCACCCATCGTGTGCGCATATAGAGACCAATGAGTCCACGCGGCCGTCGACTGGTGATAGTTTCAACCCCCAAAATGCCCCGCCTTGCACTCCTCCACCTGAGATTCCTGTCATACAAAGTTGGCGCTCAAAATTAATATTAATGTGTGCAATAAGCATACGCGTTCTTGCTCATCAACTCCCATCCGGCACTCCTCTCCCGAGCCCGGCGCGGTATCGCTAACCATACCCAAAGGCCTCGTCATCACGCCTCCCCTCCCGTTCCGTGTTATCCGGCGCCTCACCCGACCACTCGGCCCCGAACGCCGCCTTCCACCCATACGTCAACCGGCCAGGCTCCCACAAAGCGCACCCCGGTCCCGACTCGGCCAACTCCAAACCCCCTTTTCTTCCCCTTCTCCATCATTCCAGACGCGCATCGCACAGGAATCTAGACCTGTTCCTTTTCTCCAACCGGGTCCCAGCGGAGCCTCCCTCCTCGCTCCAAACAACCCACACCTCGGCATATCACGATCTCATCTGCACATCCTTCAACTGCAATACAACAGAAACAATCCCTCAGGGTCTCACAATCGTTCGAGACGGTGGATTTCCGTTACATACAAACCCTTTCCAGTGGCGCCGCTCCCCGTGGGACAAGTCCAGAACGGAGCCAAAAGGACCTTCGCTCAGGGGCCAAAATCAGGCCAAGCTTTTTCGGTCAGCCAATGTACTTGGCGCACTTGTCCTGGGGGGGGACAAGAAAGAAAAGTCGCGACATCAGGCACAATGACGTAGCGACCAGATGAACAACAGAGAAAATGTAGATAAAACGCAAAAAAAAAGGCCCAGATAGGACCACAAACATGGCACTACGGGCCACCAATCCGACCCAGTATCTCGCGACTGAATCATGCCCGCCAATGGGAACCCGTCGGAGCATCTAACCGGAGTAGACTGTAACCACCGCGCAAATTGAAATCGAAATGAGCCGCCGTTTTACTACCACTACACCAAAGAAATCTAATCAATCACAGACAGCCGTCCACATTGAAACAAACCCCCCAAAAAGATCATCATCATCATCCAACCCTCAATCCTCCCAATTCGCCCCCAAACCCATCTTCCACCCCCTTCGAGTGAAGAAAAGAACATTCTTCTAGGAATCCAATCCCCTAAAATCCCGCGTATTGCTGGCTTCTCCTCCCACCAGAGTGGAACCCCCGGACCACTGTTGCGAAATTGTCACACCCGAGTTTATTCAAATAGAGTTGGGTAACGTCCCCACCCTCATCCAACTTCAGATAAATTACCAGACCTTGGCCACCGCAACAGGGGACCGTCCGTTTGTCAAAAGCCCGCACAGTCTGCGACGGGGGCGTGACGCGCAATCGCCCCGTGGCAGGCCAGAGTGGATTCGCTTGTGGCTCGGCGAGAGAATTGCCGACAGGAGATCCTCGTCGAGCTGGCTCGGTGGTTGCTGACTGAGCTGTGGTGACGGATAGAAAGAAACATGTTTCTACGGCTCATCAAGCTTGGTTGGTGATGGCTTCCAGTTCGTTAGTGGTCACAATCATTCCTCATCACCATTAAAAGTCCGGGTAAAAATATTTAGAACATGTAGGTTGGGTATATTGATCCCACTATCAGCGAAAGCTTTCTTGCTCTACCTCTCGGCAGCTTTTGTGTAAAGGCCAGAATTACAAAGGTGGCTAGACCCAAAATGTTTCTCCAGCGTGGGGAAGTGAAAGCGAATGGTCTAAGGAATCCAAAAGTCGGTTCCCTAGACATGAAGAAATAATAATGTACGCCGCCCATTGCCCGTTGCCCTGTCCTGAACGCCTTACTGTGCAGCATAGTACTCATTTATGTACGTGCGGCCGTGAATGCTTGTAAACATGCAAAGCATCTCCCATGTCGCTCCCGACTCCGTTTCTCTCGATCTGTATGCAGTGACTCAACTCGAGCTAGAACTCAGATGACGAGTCCCTTGCCGATGCCCTGTACCGTGAAGCCCAGCTTCTCAAGCTCGGGTCCGGAGACGACGTTACGTCCGTCAAGCACAAGGCGGGGGCGCTTCATGACAGAGGCGGTCCACTCCCAGTCGATGGGGTCGCCGAGGTCTTCGCTCGCGGCGTCGAAGTTGCAGCCCTTGCAGTTTTCGGGGCAGGCGTTCTCGGGCTTCATACGCTTGAGGGGGTCGACGGGGGTGTGCGAGGCCCCGCGAGAGACGAACTTCTCAAGCTCGACAACGTCCATCTCAGACAAGGGCGCCTCCTTGATGAAGGTAGCAGCCTCCTCCTTGGAAGCCTCGTTGCTGCTCCACATGGAAGAGCGGCGAGCAGAAGCCTGAGCCTTCTTGGGGTAGCGGAAGTGATACCAAGGGGTCAGAATGCACATGGCACTGGAGCCGTGGACAGTCTCGCGCCACGTGGAACGGACCTTGACGCGATCCAGAACGCGCTGGTCCTTGATAGAGTGGCGAACTTCATCCATGACCTCGACGGGATCACAACCGGGGTCGAAGATGGCGATCTCACTGGGCATCTCGTGGGCGAGCTCCGCAATGATGTGGACAGCAATGCTGTTGCGGGTGTCGTTGGTGTTCTCCTTGAAAGCGAAGCCAAGAATGGCGACCTTTTTGCCGCGGAGGTTGCCGTTCAGAGCCCGGTGGACCTTTTGAGCGAAGCGCTCACGCTGGTACTTGTTGATATCAAGAACGCCCATCCAGTAGTCGGCGACAGTGTCCAAGTGGAGGGTGCGAGCCATGTAGGTCAAGTTGAGGATATCCTTCTCAAAGCAAGAACCACCAAAACCAACACCAGCGTGGAGGAACTTCTTGCCCAAGCGAGAGTCAGCGCCAATACCCTGGCTGATCTCCGAGACGTCGGCACCAAGCTCTTCGCAGAGGGCGCTGATGCTGTTGATGCTGCTGATACGCTGAGCCAGCATGGCGTTGGCAACC